GCAGATTGGGTGGTTACTGTTGAAGTTCAGAATTTGCGTCGTGTTCGTTGCTTTTCTGAACACTTTGGTCTTTAGGCCACCGCAATCTTTGCGACAGACGAGGACATAAAGGAATGCCAGCTGGTTATTCTCTTCCTCCTCCATCGTGAATTGTATGTCCGGGAAGACGCTGTTGAGACGTTCTTTGAACGTTAGCACCTGATCCCGTTCGATGACGACGAAGGTATCGTCCACATACCGAGCCCAGAATTTCTGTGGAAGCTGGTGACGCAGCTGGACAAAACTCTCGACGACATGCAGTCGAACAAAGCAATAAGTAATTCGGTATGGCTGGCCATTAAGTCAACAGATGCGGCCCCAGTACGATTTTATAGACTACCGAAGGTACACAAGGCTAACCTTGGGGCCAGTTAGATAGTCATTAATCAGGTCGATGACTAACAACCCAGTCAACGTCAGTGCAGTCGTAGGCACTCCATGTCTGCGGACCTGCGTCGATATTAGCGGTAAAACTGGGCTTGTAACACCCCACTGAATCTCATCCTTTACACTTCGTTCTTCTGCCCACCTGCATATTTCAGTGTGCCACAGCCCTGCCTAACGTCACCGCCTCTGAACTAGCCCTGCTCCTCCTGGATATGAACATGCTGCGGGCCGCCTACCAACAGCCCTCCGACGTCCACCGACCATCTAATCTCATCAGTGGCGACAGTGTTGCGAATCCCGCGGGTCTAGCTGCCTACGTGCGCTTCCTGGACCCCGAGGTGAGCCTCCTGCACGAAGAACTGCAACAGGTTGGCCACTCCATCGAAGCTGGTGTCACCTTTGTTCGTAACTTTGAGTCACTCAAGGTGGGTCTCTTCAGTTTCATTACTATCCCGTAAAACCTTTTTACTCGCTTAATCGTACTTGCCTTTTTATAGGTGTTTGTACCTAAAGCTCCACTGCTATGTGCTTACAGGTTGCAACTGTTTGAAATACATGAGTAGGTCGTCTGTTAAACACAACATAGATAACCCTTACCCGAAGAGCATTGGTGACTGGCACATAAACTAGATTCTGGTGAAGAAGACTTGAACATCGCTGACCTCATTCCCCTCTCACAATAACCATATTCCGGTGCAAAAGTAGAGTTAACATTGCTGGCGGCGGCGTATAGCACAGTGGCTGATCTGGCGTAGACTCCACTTATATGCTCGCCATAACAAGACTGGTCCCTATGCAGTAACCGAATCAATATCTGCACGCTAACCGACTCTCTGGATAAACACCTCAACCGATTTCACCCACCGATTGATACGGTTATCCGTGTGTGGCCGGTGCACCCAGCACAGCTTCGCGAAGTCACAAATCGAAGTTGAACACGGAGTGGAATCAGAGTGGGAACGATACCTCGTGCAGGTCAAACATTCAGTTCGCCTGTCGGCCAGTCAGAGTAACTGCCAGTCTCCTGGCCATCACATGCACCACGAAGGTAAATGCGTGCGGGCATGGTATTTGGTTTGTACTCCTGACAGTCGATTATTCGGACCGAACCTGGTAAGTTGATTGCCTGTTGCTCAGATCAGAATAGTTTAAAGCATGATGGCCGGGCAGCGGGAGGGGGGGGGGACAGGAAGAATTTGCAGTTTTAGCGAGAGCGATGACCATATCGACTACCTTGTTTTGTTTACTATGGCCACTTTCACAGACCATTTTTGCAGGCTTCCGCCTGCCCCCTGTGGTTCAACTCACAAATTCGATGCATTCGTTCTTTATTAAGCTCGTAAATCTAATCGTTCTGCTATACAGACTACACCAGAGAGTCTCCTTGCATTCCTCATGCTCAGGTAGTTTATTTGTCGACACACCTCACTGTCCACTTTCCATTCCTACCTTTTAGACGAAGACCAACGTTCCTGT